GGAACACGGAGTAGATAAAACTTTGTGTGTATCATGTTCTATCTCACATTTGATCACATTCCAAACTTTACATTTTTGCTCTTCCACCACTTTGTTTTTGATCTCTGATATCACATCCTTAGTTCAAAGTAACTGATCTTTTCCCATGAAATAGATTTTTAATGTATGGCTTCTGGATATTAGAACTATTTCTTTTTAGTGTAGAGAAAGTCTCATTAACATTTCTCTTAAGATCAATTTAATATTCATGATTAAATTCCTTTGGCTTTTATTTATCTGGGTAACTCTGTCTCGTGTTTTAATTCTTAATGTTAACCCTGCCAAATACGGCATTCTCAGTAGAAGAATTTGTTTCCTTTTTGCATGTCTGAAAGGAAGTATGTTTTGTCACTCTCTCTGTCTGGTCCCTAAAATTTCTATTGAAAAATATGGTCTTGGGCCAGTGAGATAGTACACAAGAAGGATGCTTGCCTAGCATGAGACCTACCCATATTCAGTTCCTGGGACCTCACATGGTTGCCCTGACACTGACAGAAGTAATTCCTGAGCATAGAAGCAGGAGTAAATCCTGAGAACAACTGCATCTCCCCTACCACCTGGAAAATTAAAAAAAAGAAAAATACGGTCTTAACAGTGTTTTTTCCCTGTTATTTTTATGTAACAATTTTTCTCCTCCTTGTAGCTTGTAAGATTCTCTTTGTAAGATTTTCTTTTTTTAACTTTTGCCATTTTATTTCATTTGGGGGGTGGGGGTCACACCTGGTGGTGCTCAGGGTTACTCCTGGCTCTATACTCAGGGATCACTCCTGACATGGCCTGAGGGACCATATGGTGTGATGGCAATCAGACCGGGTCTGGCACATTCAAGGCAAGTGTCCTACCCACTGTATTATCTCTGTGGCCCTTAACTTTTGCTATTTTAATATACCTTTGTGTGTGTCTTTTTTTTTTTTTTCTTTTTGGGTTACTCCTGGCTCTGCACTCAGGAATTACTCCTGGCTGTGCCCAAGGGACCATATGGGATGCTGGGAATCGAACCTGGGTCAGCCGCATGTAAGGCAAACCTTACCTCTTGTGCTATCACTCCAGCCCCTGTGTGTCTCTTTATTTGGAATTCTCTGGGCTTCCTGTATCTGAATGTCTTTTTCTATTTCCAGATTAGGAAAGTTTTCTACCATTGTTTCCTCAAATTGTTCTGCCTAAATCTTGTTCTTCTTCATTCCATATAATAAGAATGTTATTTCCAAGAGTCTTCAAGGTATTTCTTAGTTCTTGGTTTGTTTTGATTTTTTTTTTTTTTTTGTCATTTTATACTGTGATCCAGCGCTGTTGCTTTGTCTTTTACCTGGTTTGTCTACTTTTTTCGTTTGGCCTACTGTTGAATTCCTTAGTATGTTGAACCATTATCATTTGAATACTGAATAGCATTTTGCAGCTCTGTAAACTTCTTTTTTTGGGGGGACTGGGAAGGCGTGGCAGCTGGAAGCTGGAGGTGTGGAGCTTCCCAAGGCTTTCTAAGAGAGACACTTGGCCACTTCCAGTAATACCCAACAGCCAGGTAGCCCAGGCAGTTCATTGCTTGAGCCCAAGGATACAAGAGGCTGCTTGGTCAGTGTGGCATCAGGGTTTAAACTCACTTTCCATGTACCCCCCTCTCTGCTGAACTATCTCTGCATCCCCCTTTTCTCATTTCTCTACCATTCTATGTAATTTATTCTCCCAATTTTAATTACCGTTTTTATAATCATTTTTATAGCCATTACTTTGAACTCAAGTTTTTGTCCTGCTCTTCTGGGGCTTGTTCTGCATAATTCTCTATGTCCACCTCTATGTGTTGTGCAACTCTGTGACCTTTCCTGGCCTTAGTGATTGTCCATGGGTGGGTTAAGTCCCCTATATTTCAAAAGCAGTATTTTCTATCCGCCTGAATCAGCTGCTTTTGTTTTCTTCACAGTCTGGCTCAGCTGCTCCATGTGGTTGAGCTCAATGAACACATGTAACTGAGTAGGCAGTGCTGTGCTTCTGTCCCGCTGCTGTTGCTCATTGGCTGGCTGATACTGCTAGACATGAGTAGGGCCCAACACTGGGCATCTGTTGAACTTGTGAGATGTGACTGGGAGACGATGCTTGAGAGATAAATGCTTATAGCAGGTAATCCCACTCTCAAAGTATCAGAAGCCTTGCTCCAGGAATTTTAAAATCTTAATTAGAAAATTATTTAAATCAGGGCAAGAGAGATACTACAGCACGTTAAGTGTTTGCACACAGCCGACCTGAAATCCCGTATGGTCCCCCGGCATTGCCAGGAGTCACCCCCTGGGCATTGCCAGGTATAGCCCAAAAACAGGAAGGGAGGGAGGAAAGAGGAAGGAAGGAAGGAAGAAAGTTCATGGTAAAAAATAAGTATTGGTAAAGGGAAATGTGTTTGATATTTGCATGACTGAGACATAAACCTGAAAGCTTTGTAACCTTTCCCACAGTGATTCAATAAATAAATTTAAAAAAAAAAAAAAAAAAAAAAAAAGAAAGTTGTCTAATTCAAAATATGTGAAAAACAGCTACTGTGTCATGTCATAATCAATTAAGACAAATTCCATAATGAAAAGATGGTTTGGTATTGGGAGTAACTTTATTATAATATCACTGAAAGTCAACCAGATCCAGTGCCCATTTGTTTGTATTTTAATTGACCACCCCTAGAGGTTCTAGGGATCAAACTCAGTGCTTGCACCTACCAGGCATGTACTTTACCGCTTGAGCTACTTCCCCAACTTCTGTGCCCATCTTTTTGTTTTGTTTTTCGACCATATCTGGTGGTGCTCACGTCTTACTGGCTCTCCACTCAGGAATCACTCCTGGAGGTGTTCATATGGGGTGCTGGAGACCAAACCCATGTCAGTGCGTACAAGGCAAGGGCACCCTATCCACTGTACTATCGCTCCAGCCTGCCCATTCTTTTAAACAAATAATTGTATTCTCTTGGTAATCCAGAAATAAAATGTGTATACAATTTAATTTTTAGATACAGGAACTCTAAAATGTCATGTCCTTACCTTATGTTTATATACAGATAATATATTTTTAACATATGAGTCTTCAGCCTTCACTGTTTGCTTTGGTATATGAGTTTTAGGATATTAAAAAGTGGATATTTATTTGGTTATTCACTGTGGATCATCATACACGAAAATTTCAGCTAGGAAAATATCCCAAGTAGAATCCTTGCATTCCCCAGTCCCCCATACCCAGAATCACCAGGTATAGTACTGGTCACTCTCACACTGCTGGGCCTGAGCAACATCTGGGAAAGTCCTTATAAAAACATAAAATCACAGGTATATAGATACAAATAGATACAAATAAACTTTTTAAAAAAAGAAGTTAAAGGAGGGGCGAGAGTGATAGTGCAGCAAGTACTTGTCTTGCATTTGACTAGCCCAGGTTCAATCCCCATGTTCCCTTATAGTCCCCCAAGCATCTGCCAGGAGTGATCCCTGAGCACAGAGCAAGGAATAAGCCTTGAGCACAGCCAGTTGTAACCCAAAAACAAACTAAAGATTAAATCTTGCCATATTCACAATATGGATGGAGTTGAAGAATGTTATACTAAGCAAGATTAATCACAAAGTAAAACAAAAATATCAATTGATTTCATTCATAAGTAGGATAAAAAGCAGGTAAGGGAGGGAGCTGGAGTGATAGCACAGCGGGTGAGGCATTTGCCTTGCACGCAGCCAACCTGGGTTCGATTTCCAGCATCCCATATGGTCCCCTGAGCGCCGCCAGGAGTGATTCCTGAGTGTAAAGCCAGGAGTAACCCCTGAGTATCGCCGGGTGTGACCCCCCCCCAAAAAAGTAGGTAAGGGAACAGACAGAACCATTCATGCTTATCCTAGGATCCTCCTCATAGAACTAAAGAAGTTCTGTGTGTGTCCTGAGTAAATCCCCAGTACCACTTACTGTGACCCCCAGGAGTGATCCCTGAGCACAGAGCAGGGAATAAGCCTTGAGCACAGCAACAACAACAAAAATATTGAAGAGGCTGGTAGATAACTTACAGGATAAGAATACATGCTTTGCATATAAGATACTTTGCAGGTCCCAGCACTACATCATCCCTAAGCACTGTCATGACTACTAAGCAACCTGCCATGAAAATGTTTTAAAATGTTTTATAGGGGCCAGAGTAATAATACAATAGGTAGGGCATTTGCTTTGCACGTGTCTGACCCGGGTTTGATCCCCAGCATCCCATATGGTTCCCTGAGCACTGCCAGGAATAATTCCTGAGCAGAGACAGGAGTAACCCCAAAGCAATGCTGGGTATGACCAAAAAGAAAAAAAAAAGATGCTTAATGATATAAGAGACCCTAAGGTTATATATAAGTTTTTGGAGCACGTGTGAAGCCATAAATTCAATCCAGAACAGCATGGTACTGGAATACTGCCACAGTGACCCTGGAGATCCCCAGCACTGCAGGGCTTGAGCACCTTCATGCTGGGGAGAGTTTTTTGAGCTACTCGCAACTGCATCCAGGGCTTATTACTCCTGGTTCTGCACTTCGGGATCACTACAGGCCATAGTCAGAGGACCATGTGGAATGCCAGGGGTTGAACATTGGTCAAGACAAGTGCCCTAACCACTGCATTCCAGCCCTGACGATGGACCAAGTATTTCCAGCAGTGGCCTGTAGGACCCCTAGTACCACAAGCAGCTCCCTCAGAAGTGTTCAGGTTTAATTTGGGGTAGGGGTTACCCAAATGTTACTCAAAAGTGGAAGTGGGGGAGGGCCACCTATTCTCACTCAACTGGGCTGACTGTTCAGTGTAATACTGACGTGGGTGTAATACTACTCTTAATAGTCTCCAGGGCTGCTCCTGGTGATGCTGCTTGTTTTATCTGTGTAATGTCCTTGTTCAGTTTGGGATCCCTCCCCTTCCCCTCCCCCCCAGAATATCAAATAGTTCTACAATCTGCATCCTGTGGTTCCCTCCCAAAGGTCATGAAACGAGTGCGCACCGAGCAGATTCAGATGGCAGTGTCCTGCTACCTCAAACGCCGGCAATACGTGGACTCGGACGGTCCCCTCAAGCAAGGACTGCGGCTTTCACAGACTGCTGAAGAGATGGCAGCCAATCTCACAGGTAATAGGGGAAAAAACTAGAGCAGAAAAGCTGGGGTTAACAGCCAAAGAGATTTCTCCTCCACCTCTTCTGGCGATAACTCGGCAGACTATCCGACTGCCTGAGAGGAAGCACCCAGTGAGTGTAGGCCACGGAGATTGCTAACTGTTCATCAGAGCAATGCCATAATCTAAAGTTATTTCTTAATGCTTCCTGTTTTGGGAATTCTTCCTCGGAATTCTAAATTATTTTGGAGACTGAAGTGATAGTACAGCAGGGAGGGCATTTGCTTTGCGTGCAGTTGACCCAACCTCAATCCCTGGCATTCCATATTGTCCCTTGAGCCTGTCAGGAATGACCCTTGAGCACAGAGCCACAAGTAAGCCCTAAACACTGCCAGGTATGGCCCAAGAACAAAAATAGCAAAAGAGAATTCATAAAAAATACATAACATAATTCTACATTATTTTATCAATAACTTGGTGCTATATGCAAATTGTTTTCTTCCTACATGACCTGTGGGGCAGATGGGACTGATTCTGTTGTTCAGAAATAGAAGCAAGGATTATTAAATGGGTTTCTGGAGCTTTATTATTTGATATCTTGGTTTATATATCATGGCTTATTTGGAGCATTGCTTTTGTTTCTGGAAAACCACCAAGAAATGCGAGAAATGTAAAATATGGTAGCCATTAGATTTGTTCTGCATCTTGGTGTTGTGTAATCTGAACATCTGTGTGCCAGATACAGAAAAGTTCTAGAGACAACTAAGGTTGATCCTTGCTCTAAGGAGCTTAACATTATAGTCAGGAAATGAGGCAGGTTAAACCAGAGATTATAGAAGGGCATGATGTAAATCTGTGAAGGGGGGAAAAAACCTTGAATTCTATAAAAACAAAGAAGGGAATCACCTGGAGGTGAAGTCAGTCTTCCCAAAAGATCTTGTGCTTCCAACTATATATAAGAATTTAGTAAATGAATGCGCTGAGTTTTAAAAAGGACATACCAGGATGGGAGAAGCATGCTGAAAATAGACTATAGACCAAACAGGATTGTCACCCATTGCCTCTTTTGCAAACCACAACACCCAATAAGAGAGAGAACAAAAGGGAATGCCCTGCCACAGAGGCAGGATGGGATGGGAGTTGGGGGGTGGGAGGGATACTGGGATCTGTGGTGGTAGGAAATGGGCACTGGTGGAGGGATGGGTATTTGATCATTGTATAATTGAAACCCAAGCACAAAAATTTGTAAGTCTACAACTGTACCTCATGTTGTCTCACTAATAAAAATTTAAATAAAAAAGAGTTTGGTCTTTAGAAAAAGATGAGATTTATGTAATATATTTTTGAAGGAGAATAAAAAAATTGTACTAACAAAAAAAAAAGGACATACCTGAAGGCGTTGTGGAGAAAGATGTCTAAGTTACGAAATGTGAGTTTTAGAAAGATTACTCTGGTGTTATGTTTATTGAGAAAGGCCCAGATTTGAATCAGGAAAACTAGTTTGGAGCCATTAGTGTGTTCCAGTGAGAAGTGAAGGTGACTCAAATTGAGGAAATGATATTAGGAAATGAGAGGAGAAGGTACATTTTAGGAAGCTCATAGGACTTCATTACTGATTAACTCAAGATGAGTGCAGCTTGGACAAGAGGGAGGAGCCCCATTCTTTTCGGGGTAGCCTTCCAGCTTATTCTCCCAGTTATAGTCAGTTTATAAAACTAGATTTCTTGGTTCTTATTTCTATACTGTTTAGATGGGGCTTTCTCCCTCAGTTTTGCTGCTTTAATTCCTATATCCACATTCTATCTTCTGAAATATAGTAATTCTGTCTTCTGAAATATAGTTTCTCCTTTCCCCAGAATTCCTGACCCCATGTACAAAAGGGTAAGGAAATATTGCTTTTCTTCATAGAAAGCATAACAGCTCAGAATAGAGCAAATTAAAAGTTTACATACCAAGTATTTAGAGACGCCAGACTCCCACCCCCCATTTCCACAGCCCAGAGTATTTGCCCACTCAAAGCTCATATCCAGTAAAGCAATTTAAAAATTTTTTCCTCAGGGCCACAGTGATTGTGCCGTGGTTAGGGTATTTTGCCTTGGACATAACCAACTTGGGTTCACTCGCCAGCATTGCATATGGTTCCCCAAACACCGCTAGAAGGAGTAATTACTGAGTGCAGAGCTAGGAATAACCCCTGAGCGTTGCTGGGTGTGACCCAAAAAGAAAAAAAGGAATTTCTTATGAATCTGACCTTCCCAAGGAAAGGACAAAAAGATGTTGACACTGTAAATTTCTTTATCACATCATCCTAGGTGAGTTTCCATCAGCTCTGTAGTTTTTCACATAACACAGTGAAAGGGAGCTGACTGTTAGGAACTCAGATCCTGAAAGAAACTAATGTGATCACTTTGAAAAAGTGATGAGGGACAGGGTGGGAGCGATAGTATAGCGGGTAGGGCACTTGCCTTGAACACGGGTAATCTGGGTTTAATCCCAGGCACCCCATAGGGAACCCCCTGCCTGGAGTGATCCTCAGCTGAGTACACTCACGCAAGGAGTGAACCTTGAGCTTAATGGGATCATAAACTGGAGGATGTGTACTGAGAGTAGCCAAACAAAAAACAAACACACACACACACAAAAAAAAGGGGGGGGATTTAAATAGTGAGAAACAAGTTGCAGGAAGTAAGCAGTAGAGAAAAGAAAACTTTAGAAAATTATTAATAGTTTTGAAAGAAGACAAAATTTCTTTTTTATGAAAAAGAATGCTCAGAGAGCAACAAAATCATAAATGTAAGTACATTATCGTGAAACTGAGAAGTAGAAGGGTTGAAAGCTGAGAAAACCTCCCAGAAAGTCAAGAAATGAGCGGAAAGACAAAGAAATGAAACATGCAAATGAAATTCAAGAATCGTTCAAGAGATCTAACATAAAGGGAGTCCTAGAAAGAGAAAAAAAGAGAAACTTTTTTTTTTATCAGCTGGTTACCTTTTCATTCCTTGGATGTCATCTTATTGGGTATCAGTAGGGACAAGAAATAGAAATGTGTCATCAGCCTGTCATCATTAATTAGGAGTCCTAATTTTCTTTGAAAGTCTTCTGAAATGTACTTGCCATTGATACATACTCACCATGCTCTTCTACTCATGTCACCACATATGGGTTAATAATTTTTCTTGTATATTTTCCTTGTAAATTTCTTTGTATATTTCTCATATATTTCCACCCCTTCTTGTATATTTTCCTCCTTAGTCCAATCAGAATCTGGTTGTGCCAACATAGTGTCTGCAGCCCCTTGCCAGGCAGAGCCGCAACAATATGAAGTACAGTTTGGACGACTGAGGAATTTTCTCACTGGTGAGTGTGCAGCACTAAGAACTATCTCTTATTAGGAATAACACATGTTCCCCTTAGAACTAATGTTGGGCTGGAGCGATAGCACAGTGGGTAGGACCTTGCATGAGGCTCACCTGGCCGACCCAGGTTCGATTCCTCCACCCCTCTCGAAGAGCCTGCCGAGCTGCCGAGAGTATCTTGCCCACACAGCACAGCCTGGCAAGCTACCCATGATGTATTCGACATGCCAAACACAGTAACAAGTGTCACAATGGAGACGTTACTGGGCCCGCTTGAGCAAATCAATGAACAACAGGGGGACAGGGTGTTAGATTTAAGAGATTCAGTGGTACTTTATCATAGTTCATGCATTCAAAATTTTTGTCTGTGGAATTCTGGGGAGAATTAAATGTCAAGGTTAAAATTTTCAGCAGACCCCTGCTGTTGAATAAAAAATTCTCATCTGGGCCAGAGCACAGTGTGTAAGGGCTCTTGCCTTGCACACAGTCAACCTGGGTGCGATCCCCAGCATTCCATATGGTCTTCTGAGCACTGCCAGGAGTATTTCCTCAGAGCAAAGCCAGGAGTAATTCCTGAGCATTAACCAGGGTGACCCAAAACAATAAAACAAAAAGGAAAATCTTATCAGCTACGTAGGAAATACCTTCCGTAAATGTAGCATGCTTGAGGCCAAAATAGTGCAGTGGGTAGGGCTCTTGCTTTGCAATCAGCTGACCTAGGTTCAATTCCCAGTATCCCATATGGTCCCCCTAGCCCACCTGGAATAATTCTTTGAGTGCAGAGCCAGGAGTAACCCCTGACATTACCAGGTATGGCCCCCCCCCCCCAAAAAAAAAAATTAACGTAGCATGCTTGAGCCAGCAATATCCCTTAGTGGTAAAACATTTCTCTGTATGTGTGAGGTACTAAGTTCAATCCCTGGTACTACTAGAAGAAAGAAGTAGGCTGAACATAGCATTGTGAGATATACTTTGATCTCACTACTACTAATACTTTTATTAGTAACTATTTCCCCTGGTTAAGTGGAAATAACCAAATTGAAAGTACCAAAATCACAAGATAATAGTGCCCATGAATCAGCAAGATTACTAAAAAATGCAAAGTTGGCGTTGAGACCATTTTGTCAGTATGTCATAATCATTAAAACACAGTGTCAGTATCTATGGCAATTCTAATCATTTCTCATTTTATAATGTCTAGTCATTTTTAAAAATAGAATTTGGGTCAGAGAAATAGTACAAAGATTAAGGCACTTGCCTTGCATGCAGCTGCACCTACAATAATACATGTTCCAGCATTGCCTATGGTCCCCGATTAGAGAACCAGATATGACCCCTGAATGCTGCTGATGGGCCCCCCCCCCCAAAAAAAAAAACAAACCACAAAGGACTTATTCTTTTCTCTCTCAAGCAAGATAGTTTTTGTTGAGATTCGTTTAGAAAGATGTGAGAAGAGTGAAAGGGAGAAATGTTTGTTGAAGAGAGAACACAGTCTTCTCCAGAGAGGAAATGGGCAGGCAAAGAAACAGACAAACAAGTGAGATATGTGTTCAGGGGAGCACTGTAGCACTGTCCTTCCGTTGTTCAGTTTGCTTGAGCGGGCACCAGTAACATCTCTATTGTGAGACTTGTTACTGTTTTGGACATATCGAATAAGCCATGGGGAGCTTGCCAGGCTCTGTCGTGCGGGCGGGATACTCTCAGAAGCTTGCCAGGCTCTCCTGTTCTTCAGGGGAGAACATGCTGAAAGTGCAAGCCTGTTTCCTCCCCCTTTTTTTTTTTTTAATTGAATCACTGTGAGATACAGTTACAAAGCTTTCATGATTGAGTTTCAGTCATACAATGATCAAATACCCATTCCTCCACCAGTGTACCTTTTCCATCACAAATGTCCCCAGTATCCCTCCTGCCTCCCCAATCCCACCCTACACCTTGCCTCAATGACAGACAAGTTCCTTTCTGCTCACTCTCTACTTTTGGGCATTATGGTTTGCAGTACAGAAAATGAGAGGCCATCATGTTTGGTCCTTTATCTATGTTCAGCACACATCTCCCATCCTGAGCAATCCCTCCACCATCATTGATTTAGTGGTCCCTTCTCTTTCCCAGCTGCCTTTTCCTCCAGTTTGTGAGGCAGACTTACAGCTGTGGAGCAATCTTCCTGGCCCTTGTCTCTGTTGTCCTTAGGTGTTAGTCTCATTTTATATTTCACAAATGAGTGTAGTCCTTCTATGTCTGTCCCTCTCTGAATACTCTCCCTGTCCATCCACTTATAAGAAAATTTCATTACTTCTATCCTAACAGCTGCATAGTGTTCCATTGTGTAGATATACAAAAGTGTGTTTAACCAGTCATCTGTTCTTGGGCACTTAGTTTGTTAACAGATTCTGGCTATTATGAACACTGCTGCAATAAACATACAGGTGTAGATGTCATTTCTACTGTGCTTTTTCGGACCCCCGGGATATATTCCCAGAAGTGGTATTGCGGGGTCATATGGAAACCCAATTTCTAGCTTTTTGAGGAATGCCAGTATTGTTTTCCAGAATATTGTTTGACTGCTGGACCAGTCAGCATTCCCACCAACAGTGAAAGAGAGTCCCATTTTCCCCACATCCACAACAGCACTGGTTGGTTTTGCTCTTTTTTGATGTTTGCCAGTGTCTGTGGTGTGAGATGATATCTCATTGTTTTGATTTGCATCTCCCTAATGATTAGTGATGTAAAGCATTTTTTCATGTGCCTTTTGGCCATTTGAATTTTTTTTTTTTTGAGGAAGTTTCTGCTCATTTCTTCTCCCCAATTTTTGACGGGGTTGGAGGTATTTTTCTTGTACAGTTCTACTAATGTCTTTTATATCCTTGCTATTAACCCCTTATCTATGGGTATTGGGTAAATAATTTTTCCCATTCCATGGTCTCTCTGTGTATTATTGTCACTGTTTCTTTTGTGATACAGAAACTTCTTAGTTAAATGTAGATCCATTTGTTTATGTTTGTTTCCATGTGTTTGTTTCCATCTGCTTCAGTGGTGTTTCATCCTTAAAGATGTCTTCAGCTTCAGTGTCATGGAGGGTTCTGCCTACATTTTGCTCCATGTTCCTTATGGATTCATGTCTGATATTGAGGTCTTTGATCCACTTTGATCTGACGTTTGCTTGGCATTAACCCATTTTTTTGCAAGTAGCTCTCCAGTTTTCTCAGCACCATTTGTTGAAGAGGCTTTCCTTGCTTCACTTCACATTTCTTTGCTCCTTTATCAAAAGATAAAGTGATCATATATTTGAGAATCTGTGACAGTTGTTGCAATAGTCAGATGGGGAATGAGGAGCCACAAGCCTGAGGTCCCAAATCTGTCATAAAATAGTGATGAACTTACTCCTTGCACTCAAATCACTAGATTACTTTTGTTCTGGAAAGTGCATACTTGCATTCTGAATTACATTCAGGTGCCCATAGTGACACTGTATAGATCTTTGTTTATACTTTTTAATCATGGACACATCACTATAATAAAATAGATTCACTGAAGTAATTTCATTGACTTCTGCAGTGAAGAAGTAATACATTTTAATTATTTTGATTTACCTGGTGCAGGGCGGAGTGATAGCACAGCATGTAGGGTGTTTGCCTTGCATCCGGCCAACCCAGGTTCGATTTCTCCACCCCTCTTGGAGAACCCGGCAAGCTACCAAGAGTATCTTGCCCACACGGCAAAGCCTGGCAAGCTACCCATGATGTATTCGATCTGCCAAACACAGTAACAACAAGTCTCAATGGAGATGTTTCTGGGCCCACTCGAGCAAATCGATGAACAACAGGAGGACAGTGCTGCAGTGCTATCCTGGTGCAAAGTTTTCTGTTCAAATTTATTTTAGCTCGGGTTCCAGAGTGTTGGTACAGTGGGTAGAACACTTGCCTTGCACACAGCCAACCCAGATTCCTTCCCTAGCACCACATATGGTCCTATGATCCCACCAAGGGTGATCCCTGAGCACCACCAGGTATAGTGAAAACCAAAGCAAAACGACAACAAAAAGTTATTTCAGGGGCCAGAGCAGTAGTATAGCAGGTAGGGCGTTTCATTTGCCCTGTACTCAGCCAACCTGGGTTCAATCTCTGGCAGCCCGTATGGTCCCCCAGTACCACCAAGAATAATTCCTGAGCCCAGAGCCAGAAATAATCCCAGAGCATTGCCAGATGAGACCCAAAAAAACAAAAACAAAACAAAATTTATTTTGGGTCTTTGACATTTTTCTTAGGGCTGGAGTGATAGCACAGCGGTAGGGCATTTGCCTTGCGCGCAGCCAGCCCAGCCGAGCCGGGTTCGATTCCTCCACCTCTCCCGGAGAGCCTGGCAAGCTACTGAGAGTATCTCACCCGCACGACAAAGCCTGGCAATCTACCCATGATGTGTTCAGTATGCCAAACACAGTAACAAGAAGTCTCACGATGGAGACATTACTGAGCCCGCTCGAGCAAATCGATGAACAATGGGAGTTCAGTGCAGTGTTACAGACATTTTCTTAAATATTTACCGGTTTTAACAATAACCTATTGATCTCCTTGTATTTGGTGGTAACATTTGGCATCTTCTTTACTCTGCTCTCAGAAGGTATGTGAAATCTTTGTCTAGAACCTTACATGTCAGTAAATTCCAGTCAGCTTTCCCTTTGTGATTTTTTTCACTCAATTGAGAATTGTTATTCTGTTTTTAGGCAGTATGTTCTAGATTATTTGGAAGGGCAGATACATGATTTTTCCTTATGAACAGTTTTTCTTGAACAATTTTTCTCTACCCACAGTTATCTGAAAAGCAGTCAGCCAAATCCAATGCACTAATATTTTCTAGAGCAAAATAAAATTGCTACTCTGATAGCAAATTAGCATGAAAAAACTAAAGGATTTTTAGTAAAATTTGAATTTAGTGTGTCTTCACATGAAATCATTTGCTGAACACTAGTAATTGAATTTGGAATAAACAAGAAAGTGACTTAGAGGGGGAGTACTCAGAAAGGCTTCACTCAGTAGGAGCTAGAATTTTAAGTTAATTCTTGGAAAGAAAACCTTTTCAGCACATGTTTCTTTTGTAATTAGAAAAAATGTATTTTAAATGAGTCTAATTTCAGTAAAATATAAAGTGTTTGTTTTAATTACAAAAGAGGAGAAAAACTGAATCTTAAAATTTCTCTGGGTTTGGAAAACAGTATGGACAATTCTCAAAAAATTAGAAATTGAGCTCCCATTTAACCCAGCAATACCACTCCTGGAAATATATCCCAGAGAGGCAAAAATGTATAGTCGAAGTGACATCTGCACTTGTTTGTTCATTGCAGCACTCTTTACGGTAGTCAGAATCTGGAAAAAAACCTGAGTGCCCAAGAACAGATGACTGGTTAAAGAAACTTTGGTACATCTACACAATGGAGTACTATGTAGCTGTTAGAAAAGATGAAGTCATGAAATTTACATACAAGTGGTACTACATGGAAAGTATCATGCTAAGCGAAATGAGTCAAAGAGAAGGATAGACATAAAAAGATTGCATTCATCTGGGGGACATAAAGTAACAAAATAGGAGATTAATACCCAAGAATAGCCAAGATCAGTACCAGGAGGATTATTCCATGGCTTAGAGGCCAACCGGGCATTCTAGGGGAAAGGGCAGCTCAGATAGAGAAGAGAGCACCAAGTAAAGGGTGTTTGGAGGATCCTCCCAGGATGGGAGATGCAAATTGGAAGTAGACTATGGACCGAACATGATTGCCACTCAATGCCTCTTTTGCAGACCACAACACCCAAAAGAAGAGAGAGAACAAAAGGGAATGCCCTGCCACGGAGGCAGGGTGGGATAGGGGGTTGGGGGTGGGAGGGATACTGGGATCCATGGTGGTGGAAAATGGGCACTGGTGGAGGGATGGGTATTTAATCATTAATCAAAACCCAAGCACAAAAATTTGTAAGTCAACAACTGTACCTCATGGTGTTTCACTAATAAAAATTTTTAAAAATAAAATTTTGATGGGATGGGGGCGGGGAAGGGTGCTGAGAGAGATAATTCAGCAAGTAGGACATTTGCCTTGCACACAGCTGATCCGGGCTCAATTCCCAGTACCACATATGAGTGCTCCCTGAGCACCACTGGGAGTGGCCTAAACCCCATCCCCCCCAAAAAAAAATTTAATGTGGAGCTTCAGAGATAGTACAGGGAGTGAGGCCCTTTTCTTGTATCCAGCACTGATAGGAGTGGTCCCAAACAAAGAGTCAGGAGCAGCTCCTGAGCACTTACCCAAAAGCCTTACTCTGCTTCTCAAATAGGATATTGATGTTGATTGAATTTTCTCTCTCTTGCATTCTATTTTTTTGTTTCATTTTCATTTGGGGACCACACCCAGTAGTCTTCAGAGCACACTCTTTCCTCTGCTCTCAGGGATCATACCTGGTTATATTCCAATAAAAGAACAATTAAGTAGTTTTGAACTATGAATGGAAATCATGAATTTCAATAAGTTTTAAAGTAATCTGTCCTTGGGGCTGGAGCATTTTTACAGTGGGTAGAACATTTGCCTTGCACACAGCTGACCAGAGTTCTATCTCCAGCATCCCCTGAGCCCCACCATGAGTAATTCCTGAGTACAGAGCCAGCAGTAACTCCTGAGCATCGCCAGTTGTGACCCCCCCTCCCACAAGAGAAAGGTGATCTGTCCTCTGGCTGGAAAGATGGTAGTATCAGAGTTAAGGTGCTTGCTTTGCATGCAGCTAATTTAGCACCAGTGTGAGCAACCCCCAAGCATAGAGCTGGGAGTAGCTCTCCACCACAAGGTGTGGCCAACTTCCTTATCTGATACAGTATCTATCCTTACTCTGGATGGCTATTTTTTCCTAAATATACTAAAGTCTTACTATAATTTTGGTGCAGAATTTCTTGAGGTCCTCTAAAGAAGTAATTGTATTTTAAAAAATAACCAAGATGACATTGTATGACCTCGAACAGCTTTGTAGCTGTGTATCTCATGGTGACTCAAAATAATAATAATAATAATAATAACCAAAATGTGAAGCCAGAGCAATAGTACAGCAGGTAGAGCCTTGCATGTAGCTGACCCACATTTGATTTCCAGCATCCCATATAGTCTCCTGAGCTTGTCAGGTTCTGTCCCTGAGTACAATACTAGGACTAAACCCTGAGCATCACTGGATGTGGTCCCAGAACAAATAACCAAAATGTCCTTTAGCCAGGGTTTTCTAGGGAAACAGAACCAACAGGAATTATGGAGAGTGCGGTTTATTTTAAAGATTCAACGCATGTATTTGTGAAGGTGAGTTTAGCAAATTCAGAATCCGCAAGGCAATTTAAAAAGTAAGTAAAGCACAAGCAAAGAACAAAAGCAATAAAGCTAAAATTTAAAACAAGTGAAATGTCACTTTTTATATGTTTGGGGGCCACACCCATCAGTAATTGAGCTTACTCCTGGAGGCTCTTAGAGGCCATACATGGTGCCACAGATTGAAGCAGGGTTAGCTGTGTGCAAAGGCAAACCCCTGCTGTACTATCTCTCCAGTCCAAAATGTCATAGATTTTGTGAGAATTTGCTGCTCTAAATGGGATGGTGCTGGCAGTGGTTTAGACCCATTGCTCTCATTTGCTTATGTCACTCAATTTTTCCTTATGATACAGCTTTGTCTTTAGTCCATGATAATTAAATATGTATACCTTCTTAAACATCCCTTGTTTAAGGAATGATACTGAAATCCCCAATTAGTAAATAGTTTGCTTCTAATGTCATGAAAATATCTCATTTGTAATTTATTTTTACAAAAGAGAATTTTTGGTTTTTTTGACTTTTGGGGTCATACCCCATGATGCTCAGGGGTTACACCTGGCTCTGCACTCAGAAATTACTTTGTGGTGGTGCTTTGGGGAACCTTATAGGATATTGGGGATCGAACCTGGGTTGACCGAATGCAAGGCAAATGCGCTACATGCTGTACTATTGCTCTAGCCCCAAGAATATTACTTTGAAATCAAAATGAGTGTACTAACAGGGAATAGTTAATGGATGTTGTTAGCTGTGTTTTGTTTTGTTTTTCAGCCACACCCTATTGTGCCCAGGACTTATTCCTGGCTCTGTGATCAAGGATCACTTGGTGGAGCTTGGGGGACCATGTGTGGCTCCAGGCATTTAATTTGGGTTGGATGCATGCAAGGCAGGCACCCTACCTGCTATACTATGTCTTCATCCCCAAAGAACAATAATGGATGAATTTTGCCATCATAACTTTAGAACATGCCAACCTAGACAAACATGTTAGTGAACACACTAAAATAACTACTTGCTACTGCATAGGTTAATCACAAAGCAAAATATTGCACTAAGATGGAGAAATAGCACAGGGGTTAAGACTCCTTGCCCTCATTGAATCCCTGGCACCATATTGTCTCCTGAGCAAGCCAGTGTGACCCCAAACCCAAAAAGTTTGGGTTTAGAAATTTTTAATTCTAAAATTGCATGTGAGCATTTTCTTGCTAGAAGCTGTGTTATATATAACTCTGAATATGCTTTGTGTTCCTGGTGCATTTCATTATAATAGTGAAAAGGTTTCTATGAAGAGCTCAGGCTCAAGAGATACCTGAGAAACACTAATGGAAAATTACTAAACTTTGGAGACCTGAATACAAGCTACTGAATTGTGAGGATTTATGCAAGAAACTTAACTTTTCTGAGCTTTAAATTTTTGATTTGTGCTTACTTCAAGTCCAGGTTTGCTGGACTTGGAGAGCATGGGCTCCATGCTCTTCCTTCTTTACTCTGAAGGGTTGGATCTGAATTTCCAGAATTCTGTGTTAGGCTCCAAAAAATAAGGTCCTGACAAAATCTTAAGTGATAGTGCACTCCCCAGAAAGATCACGTTAATTCTTTGAGATTGTACTGTTTATAAAGCTCTTGCCTTTTTTCCATTATAGATTCTGACTCCCAACATAGCCACGAAGTTATGCCTCTCCTCTATCCTCTCTTTGTCTACCTCCATCTAAACCTGGTCCAGAACAGTCCGAAAAGCACAGTGGAAAGTTTTTACAGCCGCTTCCATGGAATGTTTCTACAGAATGCTAGCCAGAAGGATGTCATTGAGCAGCTACAGACCACTCAAACCATCCAGGACATCCTGTCTAACTTCAAGCTTCGAGCATTCCTAGATAACAAATATGTGGTCCGTCTCCAAGAAGACAGCTACAACTACCTTATCCGCTACCTCCAAAGTGACAACAACACCGCTCTGTGCAAAGTCCTCACCTTGCATATCCATCTTGACGTGCAGCCCGCCAAGAGAACAGACTACCAGCTGTATGCCAGTGGCAGTTCCTCACGAAGTGATGGCAATGGCTTAGAGCCCACTGACATGCCTGCCCCCATTCTTCAGAACGAGGCTGCCCTGGAAGTCTTGCAGGAGAGCATTAAGCGTGTCAAGGATGGCCCTCCCTCCCTTACCACCATCTGTTTCTATGCCTTCTATAATACAGAACAGCTGTTGAACACTGCAGAAATCTCCCCAGACAGCAAGTTGCTTGCTGCTGGGTTTGACAACTCCTGTATTAAACTGTGGAGTTTACGATCCAGGAAGTTAAAATCAGAACCCCATCAAGTTGACGTTTCCCGCATTCACTTGGCTTGTGATATTTTGGAGGAGGAGGTAAGAATATGATTTTTTCTTTACTACACCTGCTTACTAATTTGCATAGGATATGCTTGCCAAACAGCACTTACAGAGAATGGACTTCATCATTGCCCTCAATCATATAACTAAAACCAAACTTCTGCCTTGTAACCTGTAGGTCTTGAATTCTTGCTTATGCCTAACCCTGGAAGAGATTAAAAACTATTTTTAACAGTACTAACTGAATATTATGAGTGAAATCTGAAATGTAGATAACATTCTAATCCTAATTAAAGACCTTTGACTAATCATGAGATTTACCACAAGTGTGTGTGTATCATTCATGTAAATAGAAACAGAAGTAGTATTATGGGGTAAGTGGGTCTGCATTCTGAATTATGAAAGTATTGTCATCTTCCCCTAAACAGTTGTCTATTTCCAGTCTTATCAACAGCAAATGAGAACACTGGATTTCCCCACCCATACCTATACTGGATATTTTTATTACCAGCCTTTTTGGGACCCCAGGCTTCAGGTGCCCAAGGCAGTCCCACGCTCCGCTCTGTAAAATATACAGATGTAGCTAGCATCTTATCTGTTGGTCAGTACAGCATTCTTTGTTGTTTTGGAGTCATGGAAAGAGGCCAGAGGGGCTAGCTTTCAGGCATGATGAATCACTACCTAAGAAGCATGTAGACAGAGGGAGATAGAAATTGAACTTATGTGACTTAATTTTCCAGGACAGTATCCCTACCAAAGCTGTGGACTAGAATATTTTTATCCTATCACCAAGAAATTCAGAAAGCTGTCTGTCAAGTTCCTTTGAATGGAAGACACTTTGCACAGGGTTGAAAATTAAGGAATAAAAAAATGAACCATTGCCAGTTGTTAATTAGGATATTAAAAACACTGAATGTGTATATTAAACTCCCTTCTTGTTCATATTTTCTGAGTCATCTTTGTTTTTTTTTTTTTGTTCTTTACAACTTAGTGTAACTCGAAAATTTTGTTATGGTGAGTGAAGGCTAAATTCCAATGTGCAAATTTAGATTTTCTAGAATTTTATGTTACATTGGACAGGCATTTAAATTATGACATTTCAGGCCAGAGAGATAATATGGCAGCTTGCACACAGCTGATTTGGGTTTAATCACCAGTGCCACACCTGGTCTCTCAAGCACAGCCAAGTGTGATCCCTGACCATAGAACAGGAAAGAGTAAACCACAAGAACAGCTGGGTGTGGCCTAAAAACAAAACACATAATAAATTATGAAATATCTTTTCCTCAGAGGCAGTTCTAGCTCCTTGGAGATTTCTCACATATAATTGAGGAATACTTCCCTCATTTATTTTCAGGTTTCTGTAAATAAAATTTATTCTTCTTATATTTGCTTTGATGATTACTGATGTTGGAGTTTATTGTAGGCATTAAAAATTAAAGATGGGAGGTGGGCTGAGGTAATAGTTCAGCAGGTGAAGCATTTGCCTTGCACAGCAAACCTGGATTTGATCCTCAGCATCCCATATTGGAATAATTTCTGAGTGCAGACCCAAGAGTAAACTCTGAGGAACACAAGGTGTAGTCCAAAACCAAAAAACAAAAAAAGCTAAAGATAGGAACCAAAAAACTAGTACAGCAGGTAGGGCTTTTGCCTTCCAAGCAGCTAACCTGGGTTCAATCCCCAGCACCCTATATGGGTCCTTGAGACCACCAGGAGTGATCCTGAGAACAGCTCTAAGTAAGCCCTGAGCATGACCCCCCTAAAAAAAAAAGAATTTAATATGGATACAATGATGAGTAGAACAGCCTAAAATGAAAATAATAGTAATAATAAGAGTCTACCCTGGATGCTGCTGAAAATTAGCTGTGAAGTTACTCTGTGAAAGGTTTCCACGCATCAGAAGGTGTATTTTTGTTGAAAGTGAAGAATAACGTGATAAATTCCAGGATGTGAAATAAATTAAATATGGCTACAGTTAGGAGGGCCAAAGCAAGAAACAATATGCTGCTGCTGTATATTCATTTGAGCATGGTAATCAGAACCCTAGGGTAGTGACAGTCAAAAAGAGAATGTAAGTCCATTTAGGGCCATGTAACCGATACAGAGATTGGAAAACATTTGGCAACAGTCAAGGCTGGCAAGATAGCCTAGCAGATAGAGCATTTGTCTTGCACATGGCAGACCTGTGTTCAGTCCCTCCATATCGTCTGGTATGTTCCCCTGAGCTTTGCCAGGAGTGATCCCTGAATGCAAAGCAAGGTGTAAGCTCTGAGAACTGCTGAGTATGACCCCAAAACAAACCGATAAGCAGGGTTTCTAAACATGCAACAACTAAGAATTAATTCAAAATTACCTACATAATAGTTGGGAAAAGTTTTAGAGGCCATAGAATGGACAACAACTTAGCTACTGCAAGTCCTGAGGGAAAGAATTAAAAATAACATCTGTATCTCAGGCTCAAACACTTTGATGAATCATGAGAGGTACTATGCCCTCAAACAGAACAATTACCCATTTTTAAGGTACTACATGGAGATTCTAGCCTCTGTTTTTGCTTGAAAACATTCCTGTTTACATTAGAACTAAAATTCAGTTCCTCATGTTTTGTTGTGGAGGGGTTTCCTGTTTGGATGATATACCCCACACCACTTCTGTCTCCACCCATTTTGCCACTGCAGTTTGGGGACATTTGGTTTCTCGGTAAGTGTTATTTTGGTTGGGGACTGAAGCAATAGTACAGTGAGTAGGGGTTTGCCTTACATATGGCATACCAGAGTCTGATCCCTGCACCCCATATTGTCCCTCAATACTACCAGGAGTGATCTCTGAGCAATGCCAGATGTGTACCAAAAAAAAAAAACACAAGGGGCTGGAGCAGTATTACAGGGAATAGGGCAAATGCCTTATACACAGCTGGGTTTGATCCTCGGTCCCCCAAACACTGCCAGGAGTGATTCCTAAGGGCAGAGAGAGGAATAACCCTTGAGCACTGCCTGTTGTGGCCCAAAAAACAATAACAAAAAAAATAAAGTGTAATTGGCAGAATAGCAAAGTTTGGTTGAAGTTTTCATTTACTTCAAAGAGAATTATGACTTTTCTCTTTGTGTAATTCATAAAATCAAGATTCTAATGTAAAGATAACAAACTCATGGCCATAAAAATCAAACAGATAAAAGTAAATGGCAGTGCCACCTTGATGTAGTAAGAAATCACTGTAGAAATTAAATTATCAAGCCAGTTTCAATATCTGCCTTTTCAAAGCAATGAAACTTGTATCTGTTAGTAGTATTACTAATATTAATATTTTAATAAAGGTCTCAACAGTGAAAATACCAGTCAACACAAAAAGTTGTACCTAGCATTAATTATAATAGCAAAAAGTAAAAACAGCCCAAATGTTCATCAGCAAAGTGTAAATAAAGTACACTATGGATATGGTAATACACCAGAGTATACTACCATCAAAAAGAATAGGACACATAGTATACATGATATAATTGGGAACTTTATGTTGAGCTAAAAAAAAAAAAAACAACAAAAACTAGACATTGACTGAAGAGATAGCTCAGCTGGAGTGCATGATTTGCATTTTGGAGGCCCAGGTTCTATCTCTAGCACCATATAATCTGAGCACTGCCAAAAGTAGTCTGAGTACCGTCAGATGTGGCCCAAAATTAAAAAGAAACTAGCAACCAGAGGGATAGTTCAGAGGGTAGGATATTTGTCTTGCATGTGATTGACCCTGGTTCAGTCCCTGGCACCCCATGTAGTCCCCGAAGCCCCGAGCACTGTTGAGTGTTGCACACAAAAACTAAAGATAAAAAGAGCAGCAGCTCGTCACAAAGGACTGCAGAGTTTATAATCCACTTTTCAGGCAATATTCAGAATAATCACATCCATAGAGCCAAAAAGTAGATTTGTGGTTGCAAAGAGCTGGGAACAGAGAAAAGGGGAATAACTACTAATGACAACAGGAGAATTTTTTAAGATGGATGATGAAAATATTTTAAATGAACAATGGGCTTTGGGGATGGAGCGAAAGTACAGCGGGGAGGGCACTTGCTTTGCACACGGCCAACCCGGGTTTGATCCTCGGCGTCCCATATGGCCCCCCATGCACCAGCAGGAGTAATTCCTGAGTGCATGAGCCAGGAGTAACCCCTGTGTATCGCTGAGTGTGACCCAAAAAGCAAAAGCACAAAAAAAGAACAATGGGCTTGTTCTTTAAGCACATATTCTCTTTTAAACGTATCTTGCTTGTCCTGCTTTTTTTAGTCTGGAGAAACCATGTTCTCTCTTGAACAAGTACTTCCTCTAGTTCTCATGTCCTTCTCAGTTTCACTCAATAAAAGCGATCTCGTGGAGCCAGAGAGATAGTACAGTGAGTAAAGGCATTTGACTTGCATAGTGCCAACTGGATCCCTGGCATCCCAGGTGGTTCTCCAAGCACCATATGGAGCAGTTCCTGAGTGCAGAGCCAGAAGACCTGAAAAATAACAAGAACAGTAATCAAAAGCTCTAAGCATAAAAAATTTTGTATGCAAAATAAAGTTGGGTTTACAGCACTTTCCTCTATGTCTACTGTCTCCAAGTTGAAAGTAATCTGATAATCAAATACTAGTCTTTGAAAATCTGACAGTCGTCAAAGCAGTTTCTTCATAGCCTTGTCTTTTATTTATGATTCAGTGGAGAGTGAGAAGTAAGACCCACTCTGTTCATCCTTTCATCCAGATAAAATGGAAAAAAGTGAAATCCAGCTTTTATTGTGTTGATTGGTTAACTTGTATTTTGTATTTTTTCATATCTGAGCATTGTGACAAAAATGCAGATTCCGGATCAGGGATTTACTCTTTTTTTGTCATTTCATTCTTAGTCCAACAATACAACACCTACGTTTGTTTTATTTCCTGTCTAAGAAATAAATTTATTTCCCTGTTCTTTTTTTTTTTCTTTTTTCTTTTTGGGTCACACCCGGCGATGCACAGGGGTTACTCCTGGCTCTACACTCAGGAGTTACTCCTGGCGGTGCTCAGGGGACCATATGGGATGCTGGGAATGGAACCCAAGTCGGCCACGTGCAAGGCAAACGCCCTACCCGCTGTGCTATCTCTTCAGCCCCAGTTCTGGTCATTTTTAAGTTTGTAATGTAAAGAAGTATGTAAGAAGTAAATTTATATAAGCCATGTATATAAATTTAATAGTCAATTGATTTTAGTGGTTTTTGTTCAAATTCAATATGGCTAAAATATAAACAAAATTTAAATAATCATGTAATCAATACAAAATAAGATTAATTTTGTATTGGCTTGTCTAACATCTTAGAAAACCAGTATTTTCTCACTACTAGTACATGTCCCTTCCCATTAACCAATAGCATGTTTCTTATTTTACTTAAGGCATTTTTCATTCTCACATAGAAAGCAGTGCCTTACTTGCATCCACATCTTAGCCCACTCCCAAGCCTAGCCATACTTAATTCCCTTCAGTTCCCTTAAGATCCTTGTTGAAGAGGGCCCAGCAAGATGATACAACTGCTTGTTTTGCATGCAACTGACCTGAATTTGATCCTTGAGCCCAGAACCAGGAGTAAGCCTGGGCACAGTCAAGTGTGCCCAGACCCCTCAAAAAAAAATAAATAAATAAAAGCACTGTTCTGAAAAAGAAACACTGAGTAAGGTGAAGCACTTAGAACATCCTAGTCCAGAAATAGACCCCATACAAATCTATAATTTTCAGGGGCTCCATGGTCCAGAGCAAGAATCAATAAATAAAATTGCATAAGGTAATAGTTGATGATTAATTTCATTTTCAGATTTGTACTTTATGCATGTTTCACAATGTACAGTTACAGGTACATAATACATTATAATGTACATTATTGTACATTATAGTTACATTATTTATATGCATGCATTATGCAAAAATAGTTCTTGCTTAGGATTCTTGTCCATTTTATATGGTGTAAGTCAAAATTATAGAACAGTTGTGAAGGGTTGTCCTGTTAGCATGAGAGGAAAGAGAATCCAGCTGACCATATATGAATCAGTTGATTTTTCAGAGTTTCAGCTTAAGGTCTTTGTGGAACTGGATTGAACCACCAAAGAAAATGTGGTTAGGATATTTTTAGCTGTGAACCTGTTAAAAAATTCATAAGGAAAGCCAATGAAACATTCTGATGTACCCATTTCTTGGTTTACATCTTCAACTAAACACTTCCATATGCTTAAGATGATCATCAAGACCTGGAGGGGGCTGGAGCAATAGCACAGCGGGTAGGGTTTTTGCCTTGCACGTGGCCAACCCAAGTTCAATTCCCAGCATCCCATATGGTCCCCCAAGCACCGCCAGGAGTTATTCCTGAGTGCATGAGTCAGGAGTAACCCCTGTGCATCACCGGGTGTAACCCAAAAAGCCAAAAAAAAAAACAAAAGCAAAAGACCCTGGAGAAGTGCCAGTTGGACTCCTGATGACCCTTTGCTCTGTTTCGAGTACACTATATTTACCTCCTCAAAGAGAATTGAATACCCGCTTTCATAACTTCCTGTTTTCAAAGACAATGTAATCCTCAGAGATAGTCACTGTCACTGTCCTCCTCTTGTTCATCGATTTGCACGAGCAGGCCCAGTAACATTGTGAGACTTGTTATTGTGTTTGGCATATCGAATACGGCTCAGAGATAGTGTATCATTTGACAAAATTTCAAATAATTTTGATAAAATTCATCTTAGACCCTTTTACCTACTCTTTTTGGCTTTTGAATCATATCCACCAGTGTTCAGCAGCTACTCTGAACAAATTGCTCAGGATTCTCTTGTGTTCAGGGGACATAGAGTGCCAAGGACCAAATGCATGCTTCCTGCACACAGAGCAAACATACTAATCCTTTGAGCTATCTCTACAGCCTGGAGTGGTTGATTTTTGGCTCCCACAGTTTTTATTATAAACTTTCTGGTATGGTGTAGAATAGCAATGAGTCATTCTTGAGGTTTTAAAGTGTTTTTGCAACCTCTGAAAAGGAAAATTACAGATATTTTTGCTAACACCCATTAAAGCCTTTAGCTGCTAAATGTTAATAAATGCTAATGTTAAGTGTCTGAAATTGCTATTTGAGTATTCGTGGATATCATGTTTATTTCCTCTTATGTCCCAGTATATGAACATTGGGTGGGGAGAGAGGGTTTGAATCACCATGAATTACAAAGGTACAAAGATATCTATGGTTGAATTTCAGTTGTATATTGTAATAACACCAATTCCTTCACCAGTGCCCAAGGTCCCCAGTTTCCCATCCACCCCCATGCCCGCCTCTGTGGCAGGCACTTTCCCCCTCCCTTATTGTTCTAGTGTTCCCTTCTCTAACTTATTTCCCTCACCCCTGTCCCTATGCCAAGCTTCCTACTGTTGACCATTTCTTAGAATGCCAGTGAGCATTTGATTTTATTAAGAGTTTTCTGGGACCAGAGGAATAGTATAGCGGGTAGCGCGTTTGCTTTGTCAGCGGCCAACCTGGGTTCAATCCCTGGTATCCCACATGGTCCCCTGTGGTCTCCTGAGCACCACCAGGAGTAATTTCTGAGTGCAGAACCAGAAATAACTCCTGTGCATCTCCAGGTGCAACCCAAAAAGTTCCCCCAAAAAAAGTTTTCGAAGAGAAGCGTAAAGGGAGCTCTTCTCCAATATAAGAACCCAAGACACTGAAATATTGATTACTTTAAGAATCTTTATCTTGGGTGGAGAGCTTATACAGCAGGCAAGACAGGTATATGTAGCCTACCCAGGTTCGATCCCTGGCATCCCATTTCGTCCCCCAAACCCTACCAGGTATGAACCCTGAGCAACACTGGGTGTGGCCCAAAATAACAAAACTCATCTTACTCGTGTTTCTTATAGTATTATGAGGTATTTTGTTGGCTTTTTGTTGATTGGTTGTGGGGTGGTGGTGTTGTTTTTGTTTTTCATAAGTCAAAAGTGGGAATCATATGCTCTACTCTTGAGCCCTCTTGCAGAATATAATTAAAACCCACCTTAACTTATGAATCCAAGGGTAAAATCAGCTATAGATTTGAGAAACTTGTCTATAAGAGAATGAAAGGAAAAAGATTTTGAACACAAATAGTGAACTTGTGTACTTGTACTCATCTTTCCTCAATTCCATTCATCAGTGAGGGTCTCCCTTTCTATCCCCCCTCCCCCACTTGAATTTGTTTAGCAGTTCTGGGATTCATGCCTTGTTTTTTTAATCTGGGAAAACATTTGAGACTCTCAAGGAAATCTTCGTTATAAAACTTTTATCTCTTTTTCTTTTGGGATGCTTACAATTTGTAGCTGGTCACAGCGTCTGATAGTAATTTAATGATAATTGTACCTTTCTGGTACAATTCTCATATATGTAAATTTTATTTTGGCTGAACACCTGCAGTGATTCTATATTAACTTTAAAGTGATGGGATCAGAGTGGGTTGGGCACTTGCTTTGCACATAGCTGACCCAGGTTTGACCCCCAGCATTCATATAGTACCAAATCCTGCCAAGAGCAATCCCTGAGTTCAGAGCCAGGAGTAAACCCTGAGCATTACTCCTAAAAAAAGAAAGAAAAAGAAAGAAAAAGAAAGAAAGAGAGAGAGAGAGAGAGAGAGAGAGAAGGAAAGAAAGAGACCATGTAAATCTGAGAATTCATAAAGTTAAAAGTAATTTTTTTACATCACAAATCAGTTAATTACTTTTGCAATGTGTCTTTAAGATTAAGGCCTACAATCATTGTTCTTTACTAGTAGTGATTCATTCTTGTTCCTTTTGATTTGGCTTAGCTACAAGATGAATAGAAGGAGAGCAATTTATAAGTAGTAAAATATATTATTCAGTAACGCAGTTATTGTGAGTTTCCCTGTGGTTGACACTGAGGGCAGAACCACTGTTGTTTGCTGGGTAAATGCTATTTCTCAAACCATGACCTTTTTTTTTTTCCATTTCCCCTAGACTTTTTATTTTCCACAGCAGATTACTAAATGTTATTTTTGTGTCTCTTTGCCACCCTGACTCCCGACATTCCCAGGATGATGAGGATGATAATGCAGGCACAGAAATGAAGATACTACGGGGGCACTGTGGACCAGTGTACAGCACAAGGTTCCTCGCAGACAGCTCAGGGTTGCTCTCTTGCTCAGAAGACATGTCCATTAGGTACTGGGACCTTGGGAGTTTCACCAACACTGTGTTGTACCAAGGACATGCCTACCCTGTGTGGGACCTGGACATTAGCCCGTACAGCCTGTACTTCGCCAGTGGTTCTCATGACCGCACTGCAAGGCTCTGGTCATTTGATCGGACGTACCCTCTGAGAATATACGCAGGACACCTGGCAGATGTGGACTGCGTCAAATTCCACCCTAATTCAAACTACTTAGCTACAGGCTCTACTGACAAAACTGTTCGACTGTGGAGTGCTCAGCAGGGGAACTCAGTGAGGCTCTTCACAGGCCACCGCGGCCCTGTGCTCTCTCTTGCCTTCTCTCCCAATGGTAAGTACTTGGCGTCCGCTGGCGAGGACCAGCGTTTGAAGCTATGGGACTTGGCATCTGGGACCCTTTACAAAGAACTGAGAGGCCACACAGACAATATTACGAGCCTCACCTTCAGTCCAGACAGTAGCCTGATTGCCTCTGCATCCATGGACAACTCCGTGCGCGTCTGGGACATTAGAAACACATACTGCAGCGCACCTACTGACGGCTCCTCCAGCGAACTTGTGGGTGTGTATACTGGGCAGATGAGCAATGTACTGAGTGTGCAGTTCATGGCCTGTAACCTCCTTCTAGTGACGGGAATCACACAAGAAAATCAGGAACATTAATTTTTTTTTAATCTTCATTTTAATGAAATGGGGCTTTGGTAGGCCTCCAGATTTCGTCTTAGGACAGACTGAGATTGAATCACTGGCTGACTGTGAAAGACTTCCCCACTTCTCCTCCTACTGTGCAACCATTCTGAGCACACCACCCCTTCACCCTGCCCCCCTAACCCCAGATGGACTGGGGTGTGAGGGGAAGGGAATTTTAAGTGGGCATGAGATCAATTAGATGCTCTGGAGGTCACGTTGCAAGTTCTTAGAAAGATCCCACTGTCATCATGCAAGCGCCTTGTCTCTGTCTCATTTCCCCTTTGTAAAATCAAGATGCTGCTTACCTTCTCTGGTACTGCATTTGGTCTGAGGTTTGTGGCAGAGCATTCTTGGAAAAAGCAGTGCAACAGGGTCAGACAAGCATCAGTTACTTGGGTGGAAGGGAAGCCTTGCTGGCATAGGAATGTGGGGTGGGAACTAGGAGAGGGGGTAGGGACAATCTGCCCTCCCACCTCACCTCAAAAAAAAAAAAAACACTTTCCTTTTTTTGTAATTACAGAGAACCAGGATTTTTTAAAATAATTGTTATTATAATTATTATTATTTAGAAAAGGAAAGCTAGCACTGGCAGAGGGTGCCTTCTCTGCTCTTATCTTTCAGGTTTGACTCCTGGCATGAGCTGTGACACTTGGAATTTTGAGGTTCAGGGAATTCAGAAAATCTAGTAGCACAGTGTGTTAGGAGAAAGGGAAAACTTCTGGGAGAAAAACTGAGCACTCTAGCTGATACGTTTCTATAAATGGGTGAATGGAGTTGAATGAGAATGTCTTGGGCTCTTGCAGTGATGGTGGGAAAAAAGATTCTTTTCATGGCTGCATTTCTGTTAACAATTTTCTCCCCTAAAAGGACAAATTGTGAAAAGAAATTAAAATAATTACAAGGGGTAGGTCACCAGATAGAAAATGTTGAATTTCCAAAGTGATACTTCACTCAAATGTGTGGCTTTTTCAGTATATTTTTTTCTCTCAATATCATCAGTTCCCACCTTCTGCATTGCAATAGCAGTTTAATGAACACTTTGTGAAACAAATTGTAAGTACATACACATGCACATAAAATGATGCTTTGAGGATAAAGCAAGTTCTAATTTGTGGGAAAAGAATTAAATATTTTTGTTTTCTGAAGAGAGTTATTTTGTATTTTGTTTTCTATTAAAAAGTATTTAGTTTCAAAAGAAAGTGCTGGCATCTCGTTTAAACTGTGAGGACAGTCAGGTGTGTTGTCTGTTCAGGTGACAAGCAGCTCAGCTGAATTCAGGTTTCTAGCCAGTTATGAGGCCAGACTAGCCCCAGCAGAAGTATTTTCTTGTCTGTTTCTAGACTCTGTTTAGCTTACTTTGAGTCATGTTTCATTTTAGCTCTCTTGGATTATTGAAAGCATTTAATGCTATTTATACATCCAAAATTGCCAACTGCTGGCCCAATATACCATATATTTTACTATCTGGAATTATTTGATAAGATCCTGTTTCCTAAATTTCTTTAAACGAATCTAGGAACATAAGAACTATGTTATTTGATTAATTTAAACTTTTTATTGAGCAATTCCAGATAAAGGACTCATTCAAAGATTAAATGATGCCAAAACTTCATACTTTGAAACATAACTTTCTGGTAAGGATTCTAAAAATTACCAGAAAATGAAATAGGAAGACTATAGAATTCTATGCCAAGATTTTTTTCACTTATGGAAGATGCTATGAAATGTTTTTTTATTCATAAAGGCTCATATATTTGATACAATGTAAAAAATCCAGCCGATCAGACACTATCATCTTCTACTTGATCTTCAGTAAAATCTAAAATTCAAATGGGTTCTTAACTGTAATAAATGAATTCTTAAATTATATTGTGTCATATATTACTACAATGATATACCTAAATCGGGCTGAAAGGCTCTCAGATGTGAAAACAACACTGATTCAATGTGACTTGAAAAGGTTTTGTTTATTAATGAATTTCTTTGATTATACACAAAAATGTATTGGGTTGGTCAGTTTTTACTAGTCATGTAGATACTTTGTGATTTCAGTTCAAGCTCTTTATTATTTGTATATTTGGCCTTTTTTTTTTTTACTTTTGTGAACTAATTTTAATGTGGGGTAATTTATCTTTATAAATTGTCCCTCACAGCTTCCCCCAAATCTTGGAAATACTGTAAGATGTATGTATGTATGTTTATATCCACAAGGATCTATAAAAATATAATTACACTCTTGCACTGTTTTATCTTCAGAGCAATCCTGTGAGGTGGACAGGACTAGTGATGCTGCAGGTTTGTAGATAAAATATGAACAGCCAAGAAAAGCCACATTATCTCTCCACACCCAAAATGAAATGATCACAAGTCTTAGGCATGTTATAGAGAGGGTCTGTATTCGGCATCCTCAAGTTCCAGCTGCAAGGTGTAACTCTGAAGGTAGTAAAAATTCATAGTTCTCCCAAAGGAAATATAAATGAAAATTATTTAACAAGTGTATACATATATATTTACATATATGTATATATAGTGTTTATTATCTTCCAGCAGCCACAAAAGAAAAAAACAACTATATGAGACATATATTTCCATAACAACCCTATGAGGGTGAGTTCCGTTTTTATCCTCATTTTATAGATAAGGAATCCGAGGCACTGACGATCTTGCCAAAGGTCATGCACTAGTGATCAGTAACCTGAAATTTGAACCTGGGTCATCTGATTACATCCATACTATTTTCCATATTGTCTCCATTCACACAGTTCCAGGGAAAGGGTGATCAGAGTTTAAGAGTAACTACAGGTTCTTGGCAATAGTTATAAAACTGATGCTTCCTTTTGCCAAATAAATCGGTAAAATATGGGATCAGGTGCTGGCAGTAAGAAGGAACTTAATATATAGCTAAAAGAACCAGAATATTTAGTTACTTGGACCATAATAAAAAATATTCTCATGTACATAGATGGGGGAAAGCAGTTCAAGCTTCTCAAGACTGAAAGATTCAGAAGATCTGAATGTACTTTTAATTTAGCAGTAGACTGACCAAAATAATGAAAATTAGGATAAAAGAAAGTAATGAATAAAAGTGCAACGGGAAAAAATTTTTTATAATTTTTATATTCAAGATTCAACTTCTAAGGATATCATGATTATTTGCCTTTATTTGTTTTATTCATGTATTTAAAATGTCTTGGTTATATAAAAAATTTATTGCATATTTAGGGTTCTAATTTTTCTATTGCTTAGATTGGTATTTAAGTATATGGATTAAAAGATTAGTCTGTACTTCAACTTGTCTTTCAGTTGCATGTTTTTAAAAAGTATCTGCCCATATCAAAAATAACTGTTACTGACACATGTGGCTGCAAAGTGACTGTGAAAACTACTTTATGTAAATAGAAAATTACCATTCTAGAATGCGAGATGCAAATGTTCCCTTCAATTTGAGCTGTTGTAAAACTTAAATCCTGGCCCAAAGGAGACTACCACAGATAAGGCATCTTGCATGCACCTGACCTATTTCAATGCCCAGCACCACATATGGGCCATTGAACCCTGTTAGGATTGATCCCTCAGGACAGAGCCAGGAATTAGCCCTCAGCAGTGTGTGGCAAAAAGAAAATTTAAAAAAAAACCTTAAATCCAGGGTCAGAGAGCTAATATAGCCTTGCATGTAGCCAATTCTCATTTTTACCCCTTCGTCCCATAAGGTGTGTGTATTTCCTCTCCCCACCCTCCACATTGAGCCTGCCAAGAATGATTTCTGAGTGCAGAGCTAGGAGTTATCCTGATTACTGCCAAGTGTGCCCCCCCCCCAAAAAAAAAACTTAAATCCTTGCTGTGACTGAAATATTAATATGTGAAGATTTGTTACGATGTTTTAGTGGGTGAGAAAAATACACTGGTAAGCAAAACTGATACAGTCCCTGGCTTGAGTTTATAGTTTAGAAAGGGGACACATATTCAATCATAAATATACCATTTCAAACTGTAGCAAGTGCTGGATGTTATGGAAGAATATAGCCAGGGATTTGGGAGAGGAGGAGGAGGGAGGGACTGGGGGTACTCCTGGCAGTATGAGGAAATGCATCAAGCTTTCATGGAATGCTTCCTGAAGGAAGAATAAGCTGAAACCTGGAGGGTAAGTATGTTAGCCAGGCAGTCTCATCCTTAAAACTGGAAAGAACCTGGAATACTCAACGCTTTTCATCGGAGCTAAGGCAGTGTGGGTAAGGAACAGAAGATCATGCCATGAATTTAGATAGTTGATCTGGGCATTGTCAGGAGTTTGGCTTTTTATCTCCAGTGGGATGGAAGCCATTGAATGGTATAGAATTGGTATAGAAAAAATACAATCTATTTTTCACCTTCAGTCACTGGCTATAAGTAGACATAGGCATTACAGTTAAGAGCTGGAATCCCACCTGAACATCAGGATACTGAACAACGTTTACTGAGCCAAGGGCATTGCTGAATGATAGACACCAGCTACTATGTGGTGGCTGTCCGTTAGAGTGGCTCCTGGGACAGTGAATTGAAAGCAGCCTCAACCAGCACTCCACGAGGGGTTGTATCCTATTAACAACCACATGAGTATGCTTAGATGGAGATCTTGCCCCTGTCAGGCTTTCAGATAATTATATGCCCTTGGACACCTTTATTGCTGCCTGCTTATAGACCTTGCAAAAGGCATATAATAGATTCTGCCTCAATTCCCAATTCACAGAAACTGAGGTCTTAAATGTGACTTTTATCGCTGGCAGCTGTGGAGAACATGGGCTACGAGTGGGAGTAACCAGCTAAGATTATTGCAGTCAGGCCTCGGGAATGGCTCACTGGCTAAAGATGTGGGGCCACAAATTGAATTCCTGGTGCCACCATGTGTGCCAGGCATAATCCCAGCAGGTCTCTGTCCCCAGAGCCATGACAGAATGTGCCATCAGCAGCACACAACCAGTTGTGTGCAAGTACTGTGACTAGAAAGAAAAATGTGCAACCTCCAGTGAAAACCACAGCTAAGGATGTGCTAGCGCCAAGGCCAGGACTGCAATTTTGTTTTTGTGTTTTAACTTAAAGATGCTTCACTGGTGATGGGTGTGGTGTTGAAATTAACTGTATGACAAACCATTACAAACAGCATTGTATACCACCAATCAGCTCTTATGAACAGTTCAATCCCTGGCAATCACTATAGCCAGAATGTGTTCAGCTGCACAATTCTGAATAGACCATTGAGGTGTGTACTTTAAATGAATGGGTTATATCTTAAGGCTGATTAAATATCAAAGCTTTTAACAAAAATATTCAAAAAAGGAGCTGGAGCAATAGCACAGCAGGTAGGGCATTCGCCTTGCACGCTACAGACCCAGGTGCGATTCCCAGCATCCCATATGGTCCCCCAAGCATTGCCAGGAGTGATTCCTGAGTGTAGAGCCAGGAGTAACCCCTGCGCATCACCGGGTGTGACCCCCCCAAAAAATTTAAAAGATAAAACAATGCCTTCAAATAATATAATTTATTTATAATGGCACGTCAATGCTTATTAAATTAATGAGTAGCTAGATTGATTGCTTTTAATATTTTTATTTAAAATCATGGATTTATTTTTGCCCATTTCTCTGTGGTAATGAGGGACCTCGGTCTCTCTCTTTCTCTCTCTCTCTCTCTCTCTCTCTCTCTCTCTCTCTCTCACACACACACACACACACACACACACACACACCCCTGTATTCACCCATTATAGTGGTGTGCACCAGTAGTCATGTGAGGTTGTAGTGCTTGCACAGACTACTGCAATGCTCATCAGGTGTCACTGTGGCATTCACACATCTTTTAGTGGTGCTCATCAGGCTTCACACCCCCTTCTGTTCTGTTCAGAACTACCTGACTGTGATGCAGCTGGAAATCATTTGTACCAGAGATCACATAAACAGTTGCCAGGATTAAAGTCACCACATATGGTGACTCTAGGGATCAAACTAACAACATTGTACTTGCCGAGAAGGCTTTCTAAGCCTCTGAACTATCCCCCAGGCTTCTGGTTGGGTTTGAGTTTTGTTTTGGGGATTTTTTCGGGTTTTTTTTCTTTTTAGGTCACACCCGGACATGCTTAAGGGTTACTCCTGGCTCTGCACTCAGGAATTACTCCTGGCAATGCTCGGGGGACTATAAGGATGCTGGGGATCGAACCCGGGTCTTCTGTTTGCAAGGCAGAATACCTACCTGCTGTACTATCACTCTGGCCCCTTGCTTTTATGTTTTAACTTAAAGATGCCTCACTGGTGATGGATGTGGTGTTGAAATTAAATATAGGACAAACCATTACTAATAGCATTGTAAACCACAGAATCTCAATTTTAAAAAAAAGTGCCACACCCAACAGAATTTGAGGTGACCAAAGTCACTGATAATAGTGCTGCAGGTCACCAGGGTCAAATCTACAGGAGCTAAGGGGCCACTGGAACTACACCTAGTAGTGCTTGGGCAAGTTATGTATTTCCAAGGACCAAATCAGCCTTGCACATGTTAATTCTGTGTTCTACCCCTTAGATTCATCTCTTTTGTTATTTTAAAATAGAATATAACTGCATTAGAGCATTTGCTGTGCGTGTGTTTGAGCCCCAGGACCACCAAAAAAAAAAATTAGTTTTCTAAAGATATCTCATTTTTTTTAAATGTGTTTGTAAGTCAGCCTAGTTATCAAAATTTAAATCTAAATTGACCTAAAGTTGAGTTCGTTGATGAAATACTTTGGTTTCAGAAACCCTTAGGAAAATATAAGGGTCAAAATACTCAAATTCAGAACAGTAAAATGTAAGTTATTTGGAGCCAGAGTACAGTGGATAGGGCAACTGCTTTGCACACAGCCAGCCCAGGTTCAACCCCCGATGTCCCATATGATCCCCCAAACCCTGAGTGCGGAGCTGAGAGTAAGCCCTGAGCACCACTGGGTATGGGCAAAAAAAGAAAATTATTTGGGGAAATATAAGCTGTAAGCCAAGACCCAGGTTTGATCTCCAGCATCCCATATGCTCCTCTAAGCACTGCCAGGAGTTATCCCTGAGCACTGAGCCAGGAGTAAGCCCTGAGCATCATCGGATGTGGCCCAAAAACAAAACATAAAAAGAAACTGCTTCAAAGACATGCAGATGGCCTAAAAATACATGAAAAATGCTCATTAATGATCAGGGAGATGCAAATCAAGACAACAAAGGGATATCCTCTGACACATCAAAAAAAAAAAACAGTGATGGTTTTTAATCCACTTATAAGTGACTTAAATCCTTGTAAAAAGAATCCTTATTGGAACCAGAGAGATGATAGTGAGTAGGGCGTTTGCCTTGCACACGGCCGACCCGGGTTCGATCCCCAGCATCCCATATGGCCCCTCAAGCACTGCCAGGAATAATTACTGAGTGCAGAGCCAGGAATAATCCCTGTTCATCACCAGGTGTAACCCAAAGAGAAAAAAAAAAAAGGCTAGGAATTAATTTCCCAATAGATGCAGAAATTCCATTTCTTGAATCGACCGAGAGCACAAAACATCAATTCAGAAAAGATATCAGTACTCATATGTTCATTGCAGCACTATTCACAGTCGTCAAAATCTAGAAAACAACATACCTGTCCAAAAACAGGTGACTAGATGTGGTACATATATACAATGAAATACTATTCAGCTATAAGAAGCAATTTTCAATTTGCTGCATTGAGGGTGGATCTGGAGAGTATCATGCAGAAAGAAGTCAGAAAGATACAGGGGCTGAGGTGGCCGACCCGGGTTCAATTTGCAGCATCCCATATGGTCCCCTGAGCACCGCCAGGAGTAATTCCTGAGTGCAGAACCAGGAGTAACCCTGTGCATCGCCGGGTGTGACCCAAAAAGCAAAGAGCTGGGAAAATAGTACAGTGGGTAAGGCACTTGCTTTGAACACAACTGACCTGAGCTCAATACCCAGCATCACAAATATTTTTTTCTTGATTTTGTTCTCACTAGACTGTATATTTGTAGGCTTTATCTCTTATATGTAACATTAAATGTATTAGCATAGGTAGCATAGAATTATTCATACTATTAAATTTCTTTATAAACTGTAAGAAAAGGTACACCGTTTGTGAAAAAAATCAGTTTATCATTGATTTACAGTATTGTGGAATTTCAGGAGTTTAACCTTATTTGTCTATATTTGTATAGGTGTGATATACCCCCCCCCCACACACACACACACACACTCCACAATAAGGAAAAAAACAGGTCTCTTTTAAAAGTGGGATATGAAGAAACATAGTAA